GTGGTCAGTGTAAAACATGAAAAAATAATAATAATTTATAAATTTTAAAGGTTCATGAGGGAGAGAGGGCTGAGCAGGGAAGGAAAAATGAGGAGCTGATACCAAGGGCTCAAGTAGAAAGCAAATGTTTTGAGAATGACGATGGCAACAAATGTACAAATGTGCTTGACACAATGGATTTGTGTATGGATTCTGATAAGAGCTGTATGAGCCCCCAATAAAATGATTTTTAAAAAATCATCTATTGTGGCAACTCTTTTCAGACTGCTCCTTAATGCAGGGCTACTGGAGCATGGGGCACTGTTTGGCCTGGGAAAACAATGTGTGTTTGAAAACATTTCTATCCTGGAACAATGGAGATCTTTCCTAAAATAGGACTAGTTTTCTATGCCCATGGTTTTGAGTAGAGAAATAAGGTCCAATCATTTCTACCAAGTCCTCAGTTTACCACACAAATGAATAAATGTTTTTTAATATGGTACATACATACAATGGATTATTACTGTACCATAAAGAAAAATTGAAGTCCATATGTGCTCATTAGGTTCCCTCGTTGCCTACTGCATTAGTGTTGGCCTGCTAACCACAGGATCAGCAGTTCCAAACCACCAGCTGCTCTGAGGGACAGAGATGAGGCTTTCTACTCCAGTAAAGATTTGCTGTCTCAGAAACCCACTGGGGCAGTTTTACTGTGTTTCTAGGGTCACTGTAACTGGGAATTAACTCCATGGAAGGGAGCGTGGGGTTTTGCTTGGATACATGCTACAATATGAATGAGCCATGAATCACCATACTGAGTGAAATAAGTCAGCTATAAAAGGCCAAATATTATATGGTTCTCATTTATATGAAATACCTAAATAGGCATATGTATGGAGATTAAAGTTTTTAAGTGGCTGCTTGGGGTGGAAGGAAAGTGGAACAAAGTCATTGCTTAGGAGGCACTGAGCTTTTTTTAAATGGTGTGGGATAATTTGGGCATAGAGAGTGGTGATGGTTGTACATGATGACTGTAATTAGTATCACTGAATTATACATGTAAAAATGTTGAAATGGCAATTAAAAGAATATTTAAATTCAAAATATTAATAATGGATTTTGATAATAATTATTTAGTTATTATTTTATAAGCACTAATAATAATTTATAAAGAAAGTTCAAAGCATAAAGGAAATTGTAACAGAAATCTTAAAACCGGAAAGGAAAGAAGAACAAGAGCATGAGGAAAGAGAGGGGTAAGTAAAAGTGACTAGCTTTAATCTCATGAGTGTCTTAATCATATTTAATGCTTGAAGCAAAAATAACAATGCTATCTGATGTGATGCTCAATGTATGGAACGAAAACATTTAAGACAATTACACTTAAAAGTAGAAAATATAAAAGAACCTAAATGAAAGCAAGGCTTCTTCCATTTAGTCAAAATGATGAAATATTCAGACCAATAAATTGTCATAAGTGGCATATCTATATAGTAGCACCTAAAACAAACATTATGGAAACTATACAAAGTGTTAGAATTATATCAAACACCCCCGCCCCCCCCAAAAAAAAACACAAAAAGAAAACAATCCTACTGCCATCGAGTCAAGTCCAACGTATAGGGTCACTATGGAGTAGTGAGTTACTCAGTGGACTGCTAATTTCAAGATCAACAATCGGAAACCACCAGCTCCTAAAGAAAAACAAGGATTTTTATTCCCATAAAGAGTTTAAGTTCACATGGAATAAGCACACCAACATTAGTGACTGAAGGATTGTAAATCATATAATCCGAAGCCAAAGGAGGGAATGGTATCAGAGCCTCAATTGTGAGATTCTGGTATGCAGAAAGCTATGGATGACAGTGGAAGCCCAGGATACATTTGCAAGATCTAACAAGAAAAAAGCCTCCGGTGATTTCCCTCTATCCATAATGGAGGGATGGGAGCGAACTGGGTTACTAGAGTGAACTGGAGAGATGACTATAGGAGGCCAAAATGATAAACCTGACTTGAATCATTAAAACCTTTTCAGTTGATCTCCCCTCTGTAACACATTGGACTTGATCTGGTTTTCAACACTTTAGTGTATTGGTCAGGTGCACCTTAATCCTCATAGAAACATCTTTGCTTTTCAATACACTAAAGAGGTCTCATGCAGCAGATTTACCTAATGCAATATGCCTCTTGGTTTCTACCATGAGCTGAGATACATGAGGATTGATTGTGAATCCAAGCAAGACAAAATCCTTGACAATTTCATCCTTTTTTCCATTTATCGTAATGGAGATATTGGAACGCTTGTGAAGATTTTGTCTTCTTTATATTGAGTGACAGCATTGGGAACCCATGGGAGCAGTTCTACCCTGTCCTATAGGGTCACATTGAGTCAGAAATGGCTGGATGACATTAGGTTTGATGGTTTGGTTATAAGTCAGAATAAGCATACAGAAAATGCCAACAATCAAGATGGAATCCTAAAGATATACAAGAAAATGGAAACAGGTTTGAGAAATTGGAAACAAACAGGAAACAAGTATAAAATGGCAGCTTTAAATCTCAACCTGTTAATGTTGTTAGGGGTTGTTGAATTGATTCAAACTCATAATGACCACAAATGACAGTGTGGTACTGCCCCCATCAGATTGGGTTGGCTATAATCATGACAGGAACAGATGAGAAAGTCTTTCTATTGGAGAGTCACTGGGTGAGTTCCAACCAGAAACCTTCTGGTTAGCAGTCAAGTGCTTAACTGTTGGATCTACTTAACCTACCAGTAAGTATATTGACTGTAAATGATTCAAATGTATGAATTAAAATATATAGTTTAGCATAATGAATTTATATATATACACACTTATGAGCAGGTCATAAGTATGTTTAAAATTAAAGAGAGAAACAAGACAAAAGTAAGAATGTATATATTATGATCAGAAAAAAACATGTCAGAGGGGAAAAAACATTACTAAAGCCAAGGAGGCATGTTAAATTTTATAAAATTATCAATCCACCAAGAAGACATATGATCTTAAATGTGAATACAGCAAGCAAGAGTCTAACATACATTAAGAAAAATTTGTAAAGCTGAAAAGTAAAAAATTAACAAAGCTACACCTTTTAAAAAATCATTTTATTGGGGGCTCGTACAACTCTTATCACAATCCATACACAAATCCATTGTGTCAAGCACATTTGTACATTTCTTGCCATTATCATTCTCAAAACATTTGCTTTCTACTTGAGCCCTTGATATCAGCTCCTCATTTTCCCTTTCTCTCCCCGTTCCTCCCTCCCTCATGAACCCTTGATAATTTATAAATTATTATACACCTTCTTAACAATTGAGAGAACTACTATAAAGAAAATCAGCACAGATATAGGAGACCTAGAAATGATTGATTAGCCAACACGACATAAGTGGCATACACATAAAGTCTGTACCCAATAGAAGAAGATGATGCATGCTTTTTCAAATGCTCATGGAAAAGACAGCCAATAAAAATATGTGGGTGCAACTAACACAATGCTTTTAGGGAGATCCATGGCACTAAATTTTTACATTTAAAAAGACAAAACTGGGCGCCATCACGTGTGTCCCCGGCTCAGTCCCTGGCCTGCCTGGCTGGGCAGCAGAGGAGGGAGGTTGGCAGGTCCTGGAGGCTTAGTTATGGGCAGTGGCTCCTCTGCTCTCGCGCGCGCACAGCCCTCCTCGCTGCGTCTCCGTAGTGGCTGTTGGAGGAGAACCCCGCCGTCAGGCGCCGGCTGCCGCAGCTGCTGTTTCTCCAATCCTGGGCGGCCCCGCCGCTGGGCAGCTGCTGAGCGCTCCAGGAATCTCCTGCACCGCCTCCCTGCTTTGCCTGGCTACTGCAGTGCCCATGGGGTGTTGGAGGTAGATGGGCTCCTGACCTGGGAGGCGGCGGTGGATCCCGGCGCTGGGCAGAAGCAGCCACCGATTCCAGCTGCTGGGTGGCTGTGTGTCCCTGGCGCCCCTGCAAGCCTCGGGCTCAGCCGCAGAGTCCATTGCAAGCAGCAGCACCCCCTGCCTCGCCTCCTGCAGCCGCCTGGCTGGCCGCGCCGGTGCCAAGATGATCAGGGGCTGCCTTCTCCAGCTGGGACTCCTTAGCACCATCACTGCTCAGCCAGAACAGAAGACCACGAATCTGGTTGGCACGTACCACCATGTCGACCGTGCCACTGGCCAGGTGCTTACCTGTGACAAGTGTCCAGCAGGAACCTATGTGTCTGAGCACTGTACCAACACAAGCCTGCGCGTCTGCAGCAGCTGCCCCAGGGGCACCTTCACCAGGCATGAGAATAGTATTGAGAAATGCCATGAGTGTAGCCAGCCATGCCCAGGGTCCATGGTTCAAAAATTACCTTGTGCTGCCTTGACTGACCGAGAATGCACTTGCCCACCTGGCATGTTCCGGTCTCACGCTACCTGCGCCTCCCACACGGTGTGTCCTGTGGGTTGGGGTGTGCGAAAAAAAGGAACGGAGCTGGAGGATGTGCAGTGTAAGCAGTGCCCTTGGGGTACCTTCTCTGATGTGCCTTCTAGTGTGCTGAAATGCAAAGCCTACGCAGACTGTCTGAGTCAGAACCTGGTGGTGATCAAGCCTGGGACCAAAGAGGCAGACAATGTCTGTGGCCCACCCCGATCCTTCTTGAGCATGATTCCACCACCCCCTGGCACAGCCATCTTTTCACACCCTGAGCACAGGGAATCTCTGGAAGTCCCTTCCTCCACTTATGTTCCCCAAGGCATGACCTCAACAGAATCCAACTCTTCTGCCTCTGTTAGACCAAAGGTACCAAGTGGCATCCAGGAAGGGACCCTCTTTGACAACACAAGCTCAGCAAGGGGGGAGGAAGGTGCCAACAAGATCCTCCTAAACCTCCAGGTCTTTAAGCACCAGCAAGGTCCCCGCCACAGACACATCCTGAAGTTGCTGCCTAGCTCCATGGAGGCCCCTGGGGGCGAGAAGTCCAGCACACCCATCAAGGCCCCGAAGAGGGGTCATCCCCGACAGAACCTCCACAAGCATTTTGACATCAACGAGCATGTGTCTTGGATGATCATGCTCTTCTTGCTGCTGGTGCTGGCGGTGATCGTGGTGGGCAGTAGCTGGAAAAGCTCCCAGACGCTGAAGAAAGGGGCCCGGCAGGATCCCAGCACCATCACGGAAAAGGCAGGGCCGAAGAAATCCATGACCCCGACCCCGAACCGGGAGAAGTGGATGTACTACAGCAATGGCCACGGGATTGACATCCTGAAGCTTGTAGCCGCCCAGGTGGGAAGCCAGTGGAAGGATATCTATCAGTTTCTGTGCAATGCCAGCGAGCCGGAGATGGCCGCTTTCTCCAACTGCTTCACTGAGGACCAAGAGCAGGCCTATGCAGCTCTGCAGCATTGGACCACCCGGGGGCCAGAGGCCAGCCTGGCTCAGCTCATCAGCGCCCTGCGCCATCATCGACGCAACGATGTGGTGGAGAAGATTCGTGAACTGATGGAAGATACCACCCAGCTGGAAACGGACACACTGGCCCTCCCCACCAGCCCGGGCCCCTTAAGCCCAAACCCCATCCCCAGCTCCAACACGAAACTTGAAAATCCCAGCCTCCTGACGGTGGAGCCTTCCCCGCTGGACAAGAACAAGGATGAGTCGGAACCGCTGCTTCGCTGTGACTCCACATTCAACGGTTCCTCCACGCTGGGCAGGACCGGTTCCTTTATTACCCAAAAAAAGAAGGACACAGTGTTGCGGCAGGTACGCCTGGAAGCCTGCGACTTGCAGCCCATCTTCGATGACATGCTCCACATCCTGAATCCTGAGGAGTTGCGGGTGATCGACGAGGTTCCCCAGGCTGAGGACAAACTGGACTGGCTATTTGAGATTATCAGAGTTAAGAGCCAGGAAGCCAGCCAGAGCCTCTTAGACTCCGTTTATAGCCATCTTCCTGACCTGTTGTAGGACACTAGGGACACTGTCCTCTGGAATATTACTCACTTGAGTGGCTGGGTGGTTTTATTGGGTATTGGGTATTTTTTGTGTTTGCTTGTTTGTTTGGTCTGTGCCTGTGTTTAACAGAATATATGGCCACGGTTTGAATTCTTTCTTTCCTTTTGCTTTTAACCCTTCTGGGAAGTTAGTTTCTAAGCCAAACGTTTTCAAGAAGTAACTGTTGCAAAATATCCACCACTGAAGTTTTTTTTTCTATTTAAAAAAAAAAAAGTTTCTTACTTCTCTGTTTCAACTTCTGACACATTTTTAAAAAATTGTTCTGTGCACTTTAAATTCACATAACCTACCCTCGGGCAGTGTGACTTTTCCTCCACACTGACTGTGAGGCTCTTACAAGTGTAATGACATCATGTGAATTCTATAAGCGGTCTTCACGTCTCTCAACACCCACACCTACTACTATTATTTTTATAACTATTATGGTTACTGCTATCATCACATTATTTGTCTTTGACCAATTAAGACCCCACTTGATTTACTGTCATGCGATTAGATTCTGAGTGATCATTTTCCTGTCTTGTTGCATATTCCTGGCTGAACTTGAGAGCACTTTGGCTGATGCTGTGGTTGACTCCTGGTCTTATCTGATGCTAATGTGCTCTGGGCTGGAGAAAGGAACTGCCAGTCACCAGAAATAGCTGTCTACGGGGCTTACCAACAAAGGCCCCAAAGGGATTTGAACTTCATCTTTTAGGGACTGAGTTATTAGGGGATATTTGGGTGCACATTGGCAGGTCAAGAATGTGAATCTCTGTGGCACCTTTACCACAGAGAATCTGTCCAGCTTTGCTTTAAGTGATATCTTGTGTTTTATACACACATATGGTAGTCAAATAGATCCTGTATGCCCTCATGGCCTTGGTCTTAGTGGGTTTACTTCACCATTGAATCACTTAAATTAAAAATGACTGAAGCTGTAAGAACTCTTGTCTGATATATTTGTAAATTTGTTCACAATTGTAAGCATACTGTTTAATGCTCAGTTTTGAGATTCATATGCAAGGGTGGTGTGGACTCCCTTTGTGTGGTCGGAGGACTGTGGGTAGTGGTGAGGGACTGATATCAGAAAAATACCTTCAAGTGTACTAATTTATTAATAAATATTAGGTTTTTGTTATCTGAAAAAAATAAAATGACAAAAATCTATAATCTAAGTTCCTACTTGGATTAGCAAAAATAATAATAATTCATAATAGAACAAAATAAGTCCAAAATAAACAGAAAGGAGATGATAAATATGAAGAGCAGAAATAGGCAAAATGAAAATAGGAAAACAATGGAGAAAATCACTAAAAAGATAAGAGAATTTTATGCTCACAAATTTTGCAACTTAGAAGAAATGGACTGTCTTCTTTCTTATATCTATGTAGAAAATCCTCAAGAATCTTAAAAAATAATAGTCAAAATATAACAAAATTACTAATTTGCAATAAATTTATTTAATAAAGTTGCAGGATACAAGATCAAAATACAAAAAACATGTAAGAGCAGGGGTTTTTTTGTAAGAGCATTTTTATAGACTAACAATAACATGGTGGAAATGAAATTTAAAACACAATTCCTTTTACAATTACAAAGAAAATTAAACACTTAGGTTTAAATGTAACAAATCATATTTAGTATAAGAATGTTTAAAATAAAAAAAATTTTAAATAAAAAAGAATGTTTAAAATAACAAATACCAATTAAATAAACCAAAGATAATCTAAATAAATGGGAAAATGTTCAGTGTTTGTGGATTATGTGACTCAACATAGCATAGATGTAATTTTCCCCAAGTTGATCAACACGTTTAATACAATTAGTATTAAAAGGTTTTGTAGACAAAGTAAGGCTTATTCTAAAATTTATATGGAGGGCAGGCACAAACAGAATAGATGTATTAGTTGTGGAATATAGGGCTGCTATAAATCTGAATCAACTCGACAGCCCAAATCATCAATATAACTACAATAATCAAAACATGTATTAGTTGTGGAATATAGGGCTGCTATAAATCTGAATCAACTCGACAGCCCAAATCATCAATATAACTACAATAATCAAAACAGTGCGGTATTGGTGGAGGAACAAAATAAAAAATAGGAAAAGGCTTACGCAATACGTTCAACTGAATTTTCACAAAGATGCAAATGTAATTCAAGGAAGGAAGTATAACCTCCTTGACAAATGGAGCTGGAGAAATCAGAGGTCCCTAGGCAAAACAAAAGAAAGGAAGGAAGAAAAGAATCTTGACACAAGCCTCAACCCTTACACAAAAATTAGTTAAAAGATAACAGACTTCAAGGATAAAATTTGAAGCTGTAAGAGTCTTTGAAACAATAGAAGAAAATATTTGGAATCCAGGGCTAGGCAGTATTCTTAAGCTTGAGACCAACAACGTGATTCATAGGGGGGAAAAACCAACAAATTGAACATCTTTAAAATTCAGTTTTTGCTGTCTGTAAAACCCTGTTAAGAGTATGAAGGCAAACTACAGAGTGGCAGAGATATTGATAGATCACATATCCAATAAAGGATTAGCATCTAAAATTTATAAAGAGCTATCAAAACTTAATAGTAAATTCAAAATTGAAACAATTAGAAAATGGACAAAAGACATGAACAGTTAGTCATTCCAATAAAAGAAAATTGGAACATAGATGTTCAACTTAACCATTCCAGAAAACAACCCCCCCTCCCCCCCAAAAAAAAGCCATGGAGTTGATGCTGACTCATAGTGACAATATAGGACAGGGTAGAATTGCCCCTGTGAGTTTCCCAGACTATAACTCTTTCCAGGAGTAGAAAGCTTCATCTTTCAGCTGAGGAGCGGCTGGTGGTTTTAAATTCCCAACCTTTTTGCGGTTAGCATCCCAACTCGTAACCAGTATACCACCAGAGTTCTTCATTTAACCATTAGGAAAATAAAAGTGAAACCACAAGGAGATACTACTACACGCCATTTTGATGAGCAGCTAAAATTAAAAATAATAAAAGCATCAAATGTTAGTGAATATATAAAAAGTGGGGATCAGAGTGGTGGTTTCCAGGTTATATCATGCAACTATTTTATATTTGTTTTAAAATGCTATGAAGTATTCATAAATAACATTTTCTTGATGAACTAATTGTGTGATAAGTTAAATCTTTGCTATTTTTCAGAAATAAAGCATTTTCAGTTCATTACCTTGAATTGGAGGTAAGGAAGGGAATGGCTATCTAGGACAATACTAGGCATCCTTGTAATGCAGTTCTTCTGTATCTTGATTGCATTCATGTCAACGTCCTGTTTTACAAGATTTTCGTACTTGAAGACATCAGGTAGGGCTGTATCAGAGTTCTCTGTATTATTTCTTACAGCAGTATGGGAAACAACAATTATCTAAAAAACACTTTATATAAAAAAAGCGTAGAAATGGGGGTGAGATGAAGGTAAACCTTTACTTGTGCAGATTTTATATCTTTAAAACAACAAATTAAAGCAAATATGGCAAAGTATTTAGTAGAAAAATTGGGGTTCTAGTTATTCTTGACCTTTTTCATATGGTTATAGGATTTACAAATTAAAATTTTATGTTTAAAAAAAGAAGATCAATATATATTATCTTGGTTTTATATCATGCAACTATTTTATATTTGTTTTAAAATGCTATGAAGTATTCATAAATAACATTTTCTTGATGAACTAATTGTGTGACAAGTTAAATCTTTGCTATTTTTCAGAAATAAAGCATTTTCAGTTCATTACCTTGATTTTCAATTACTTTATGAAATAGTGTACACTGAATAGAATTTTATTTTTATTAATGACTCAAGAAAACATTGTGAAATAGATTTGTCTTATGATCCTAGAAATAAATGGTAGTACCTGGTATTATTAAATTATTCCTTTAAAATGACTCTCTCAAGTCTTTCAATTGTAACATTTTTCAACACAATGGTTGATGGGTCTTTCCTTGGCCCTCTGGCAGAAGCTTCTCTCATTTCTTCCTTTAAGTCATACCTGTAATATTCTCCCTCATCATAGCCAGATATTAAGGTTGATGGATAATAAGCAGATGAACAATCCCAAAGTTGATAGGTTCTAACCTCACTTTCTCTGTATGTATTACCTCCCCTCCCCCCACCCCCACCCCTGAAAAATATTTCGTAGAATCTGTTACACCTTTTTCTATCACCTTGATATCACTAACCACTTTTATGACCAGGGTCAATATAACTAAGCTTTGCTACAAGTCTAATCCTGTTACAAGATTAAAATATGATCTTTGAGTTCTTTAAACAAGGAGCCCTTGTGGCACAATGGTTAAAAAGACTTGTGGTTTGAATTCACCCAGTGGTGCTGGAGAAGAAAGGCTTGGTGATGTTCCCTTAAAGATAGCTTTCTAAGGAACTATATGGTCCTGTTCTACTCTGACACATGGGTCCACTAAAAGACAAAATTGACTCAAAGGTACCCAAGAACAGTTGTCCTTTACTGTTTTGTTTTTCCAGATAATTGGATCAGAACAGGCGTACACCTGAGGAAAATGATAATATCCTCATATGAGCTCACAAGCACTGGGCTAAGGTATTAGGAATATCTATATCCTTTTTGATCCAATTCATTTCCGTGCAAACAATATTTATGTAGGCTCATATATACCAGACATTGTTTTAGGTACTTATTGGGTACAATGAATAGAAATAATCCATAAAATGAAGGTGTTTATCATTTTGCAATGCAAGTATTAAAATTTTTGCTTAGTTAAAATGGAAAGAAATGAGAAATTCAATTTTCTTTGTTCAATAAAAAGTGCTGGGATTTTCTGGATGCATAACCAAATGTGGTGAAGAAAGCTGATGTTGCCTGGCTATCAAAAGATATAGCGTCTGGGGTCTTAAAGACTTGATGATAAACAAGTGGCCATCTAGCTGAGAAGCAACAAAGTCCACACAGAAGAAGCACACCAGCCTGTGTCATCATG